CCCTTTTCCTTTCTAGAAAAATTATACCTGTTCAATTGCCCCTTTTGAATGATATGCCTTGTAGTTATTTAATTTGTATAACTTCTTTTGTTATAATTTTTACATAGTACTATCTAAATAAATAAATATAAAATTATAACTTTCAACAAAATAAAAATAGTTAATTATTAAAAACCTAAAAGTTGTGAAAAAAAAGTTGTCATAAAAGTTTTTTTTTCTCTTTTGATTTCCATAATGAGAGATTAAGAAGTATAAACAATAAAAAATAAATAATTTAATGATAATAGTTTTTTAAGTAAAAATAAAAAATTTTAAGTTTGAATTATATACTATATAGATAAAATAGGTTAAAAAATAAAATAAAATCATTTCTCATTGTACAACTAAAAAAAATTACCCTATAAAGTATAAACATGTTACCGAGCCAACCCAAACCCTCCTTATTTCATTAGGAGCATTTAAAAAAAAAAAAAAAAGCAGATAATGAAGATTTGATTATTTCCTTCCATCATCATTATTATTATCATTATTAGTTTGATATTAACAGGGCTCAGACATGGCTCCATGCATACAGCCACTGCACTGCACGAAGATTTATCAACAAAGAGCAGAGAACCTCATCAACATCAAACTGTTTATGCAGACCAGTGCCATAAGCTGGACAATGAGAAAATGTCAAGTGAGAAGTCAGAGCCAGAAATCGGATTTCCTTTTGTCAATTCTTGGAGTGACACATGCCTGGAATTTGCAATCAAGACTCTTACTGCTTCAATACCATTGGAGGATGCTGCCATTGATGGGCTTGTTTCTCCTCCAGCTACTAATATCCTGCAAGAAAAGAATCTAGGTGAAGCTATTAATGGAAGTTCCAGACTGGTAAAGACTTCATTAGACTAAAACAAGTCAAAGACAAAGAAGAAAGAGCTCAACTTGCCCTGTCAATCTTCGAAACAACTTTCCAGGCTTGCAACCCAGCTGGTGGTGAATTCATTGTCCCCTGAACAGACCTTTACGGTTGAAGGAAGAAATTCTTTTGGTGAAGAAGTCTTTCAGAATGCAGGTTTAGTTTCAGAGAAATTAGTGGTTGGAGCATGTCAACAGCTTCAGGCTGAGCCAATAATGGGGCTTAGGCATGGCTTCAGATGCACAGTTGGTGCATTGCATGAAGAATCATCGAGTAAAAGCAAAGAACCTCTTCAAGATCAAACTGTTCCTTACAGTCCAATGCCAGAAGCCAGACTATGGGAATATCCATGATGCGAAGTCAAAGCCCAGTTCTTATTTCCCTACGGAGATTCTCGGTCTGAACCATGCCTGGAGTTTGCATTCAAGACTATTACAGGTGCAATTGCAGTGGAGGATAATCTTGCTGTACAGGATTACTTCCAGCAACAACTTGAACCATCTAGCACCAAGAGGGATGGTGACTCTGCACTTCAAGATTTTGGTTTGCCCAACTTTTTCAAAGCTGATATTTCATCTCACTTTGATACACAAGAAAAACCACCTCTTAGGCAGCAACCACCTGCAAATGTGAGCTTATCTAGTGGAGGTGATATTGGTTCTCAACAACCTTCTGCTTGAGGGGCAAAGTGATCTCCTCCAGTTTTCCTCCTGTAAATCTGGTAGGCATCGAGGAAATAGCATTACGTACTTTTTGCACCGATCGCTTTGTGCAGTTTTGGCCTTTTTTCCTTTTTTTTTTTTTTTTTTTTTTTTGTGTG